CGGATTTTTAACCCCAATGTGAAGTCAGCCAGTGCTACTATACGGATCAGAGACTTGCACTGCGCGTCATAAAGAGCATCTCCAACAAATTACAGACCTTCATTAACAGTTGTCTTTGCTCAATACTCAAGATCAGATGGCCGGCCAGAAAAGATCAGCAACAGAAATCTCTGGGAGCGAACCAACCAGGAAGCGAGTGTGAAACAAATAGGCAGGAAGAAATGGAGATGGATTGGCCATACTCTGAGGAAACCATCATGTGACATCACTAGACAAGCCATTGCTCAAGTGGAACCCGAGCAGGAAGCGGCGAGTTGGTCGTCAGTGCGAGGGTTACATGGAGGAGGTCATGTGAAGAGGAGATGGAAACGTGTGGGCAGACTTGGAGCCAGGTGAAAACTCTAGTAGAGAACCGAACTCAATGGAGACGCGTGGCTGAAGCCCTATGTTCTTCTAGGAATTAAAGGGAATAATAATAATCACTTAATAATGAACCACATCATTTGTAATGGACGCACACTACTACCTAACTAATCACCACCTGAGAAGTGATGACGGGGTTTCAAACGCTTGGGTTATTCATTTGAAGTCTATTGTCTATATTAATTAATGACACTTCAAGTCAAGTCGTGAACTGACATCGCTTACAGCACCATTGAAAACCACGGAGTACTGTATAAACCGGATAAGAATGCTCACATTTATAAATCATATCAAAGTCCAATATTTTCCACGCTCTATAATATTGATTTTTCTATTGTCAGGATATGACTACTGGTAAGATCTACAGACTAGTAATAGAGACTTTGAAGGATGATTTTCTCTGAACTGTGTTTTTAGTTTCGATCGATATTTTGAAATGTGACTCTAGCTAGTGTTCACAATTAGCATATATATATTGAAACTGTCCTGACTTAATTAAGTGACAAATCGATTAAAAAGAAGACTTTTTATCATCACGTCAAATATCTCAATCGAACCTGAATTTAGCCACTCACTTACGTTTGACCTTCATTTAATTTAAATCACAAAGGACAAGGTTAACTAAACTTACTTACTATTTGTTTTGTTTTAGCAAAAACACCTAAATGACGTGACACATTTCTGACTACATGTCTTTAATTGTCTCAGTTTCTTCATTGTATGTTGGATTAACTATTCGAACTGACATGAATGTGGACAATACACAGTGTTCATATAATCAATTTCTATGATGTCGTTTTCTTTTGTCACATAAAGCTCAAAATCTTTTTGAAAAAATTTGTAGTTGAGGTGGATGCTTTTTTTCCGTTGTTGTTTACTGTGGGTTGTTTTGAACTGGATGGTTTGATTGTGGAGCTTTTATTATCCTTTCTAGTCTGTCTGTCTGGATTCAACATAGAACTTGCCACCGAAGTGCAGCAGTTCGAGTTGCCACGTTCCAAATAGCACACAAAGGTAGACAAGAAAATGAGTGAAGAGAATCAATAGAGTTTTGACAAGTATAAGAGTGAAACAGAATGTGTAATGGTAGGAAGGAATATGAGAGATTACAGAGACTGAATACATCTGCGCCATTGACAACGATTTTGAGCCATGTCACCTATTGTCTCCAGCCATTGATTCTTAGAGTCACGAGGGCCCCAGCCCGGGAGTCTGCATCTCCCTACCTGACTCAGTTTAACCGTCAAGGATTTCATGGACTGATGCCATGTTTTTGTTTGGCCACCACTTACTCTTTTCCAACCTGCACCTATATCAGCTAGTAATGCCCTTCGGGGGAGACGATGGTTAGGCATGCGCAGCACGTGGCCTAACCATCTCAATCTATGTAACTTCATAGCCTCTTCGAGTGATTTTCCCTCTTTGCCCAACACTCTACGCCTAACGTCAACATTACTTACTTTATTATACCACCTAACGCGAGAAAGAGATCGTAAACATCTGTGGTCAAAAGCAGACAATCTCTTCATGTCTTCCACTCTCAATGGCCACGTCTCACCGCCATAGAGAAGGACGGAGCGAACTGCTGAGCAGTGTACACGTCCCTTGGTTGATAACCGGATGTCACGCCTACGCCAGAGACGGTGTAAGTTAGCGAAAGCAGCCCGAGCTTTCTGGATCCGTGCTGTGATTTCGTCACCAATCAATCCGTTGGTGCTGATCCTTTCTAGATGAAAAACATCTTAAGCGTGTAGACTTGGCTCACTGGCTTAAAAAAAACTCAAGTTTCAGCCAGTGGGACACATGTCCGAGTCCTATTTCTCCTCATATACGACCTACCACTGAACCTTTACATTAGTAAACTTAGCTTTTGAAATAATAGAGAAGATTTGTAGCTCAGGTGGATGATTTGCAATTAATAGTGTTCTCTGAGCTGGTTGGTTTAGTTGCGAAGCTTTCGTCGTCCCCCATCTGGACAACATCCCCCTTCAGCGCAATATTTAGCATAGACTGAACTAATTTAAATTTCTTCATGAGTGATATAATTGCGTCTCCCGGTAACCATCTATACATATGTATTGACCATTTTCTATTGACTTGGATTTTAAACTTTCTGGTCACCTGATTTACTTTTTATTAGTTGGTATATTTCGTCTATATTAACGTGTTTGTTAATTGCATTTTCGTTTGAGTACCAGGCTTCTAGGAATTCTCTGGCACTTTTGGTGATGTCTAAAATTTCGACATTATCCCAATCAAATTGATGTCCCTAATTATCTGTATGCATTGATACTAAAGAATATATATCGTGTCTTTTCACGGCTGATTTGTGTTCTTGGATTCTAATTCGAAGCGGACTCCCACTTTGACCGATGTAATGGTTGTTACAGTTCATACAATTTATTTTGTAAATGGTATTAATTTTATCTCCTTTTTCTGTTGGATCTTTCGGTTTGCATAATATCGAATTACGCAATTTGACTGGCTTGTGTGCTATATCTATACCTAACGGTTTCAGTATTCTAGCTGTTATTTCAGAGATATTTCTCATGTATGGTAGGATGAATTTTCTTGTGGTCTTTGATGATGGTTTCTTGTTGGTGTTTTGATTCGACTTTAACCCCTTTTGATGAAATTTTGTGGATAACCATTCTTTTTAAAGACCGTTTGTAGGTATTTTTCTTCCATTCTTTTCAACTCTGGAGTGCTACAATGTGTTTGAACTCTTTCAAACAATGTCTCCAGACAGTTTCGTTTGTGAATAATTGGATTATTGCTAGTATCGTTGAGTATTTGATCTGTGTGCGTTGACTTTCTATATACTTGTGTTTCTAAATTTCCTGTGTTGGTTCTCCTGTTGGCTCCGCAACCAAACCAACCAGCTCAGAGAACACTATTAACTGCAAAACTTAGCTTTTAGCCTGTTAAATGAAAGATTTGTCCCAGTTAACTGACTTCAAATAACAAAACAGAAGAAGTGTGCGGTGTATTGGTTTAAGCATTCGATTTTCAGCTGGTAGGCTTACAGGTTCGAGTCTCTCTCCGCTTACTTCGGTCCGGGCAACTGGGTGGTAGTGCCACTAACCCTCACACGATAAGTGTGCCTCTTAGCCAGGTACATGAAAAATGTGATTCGGGTAACTGAATTTAAAGATGGTTGGAAGAAGGACGATCAAAACTGTGGACTCTTCTTGTTACCTCCACTGTTGGTCGGAAATTCAATAGGGAAGTTAAGAAAACACCCACTTTCTTGAATGTATGTTCAATTCTTCGCTTTTGTTGTTCTTTAGTTATCGTATTATAATTCAATACTGTTTCCTTATTGTAATACAATTACATGTCATGGTTGTTTTCCTGTGTCTAGATTGCATGTAGGCGTATTTCTGTCTTACCTATTTATTTTGGAACTTGAAGTTTTAAATTTGATTTCTCTACTCACTAATAATACTTCGGAAATTATGTTTTAAGAATTTTTTTTATAATTGATGCTATTTCCTTCATATTCACTAACTTAATTTAGGAATAGATAGGACACAAATGAACCAAGAAAAATTTTATTATCGATAAAGTTATCTTTGAAAACTGTACAATGTTATTTATATTTTTATTTTATGTAATAATTATTATTCACATTTGGGTTCCGAATGGAACATGGGGCTTCAGCAACACCATTCCACTTTGTACTTTTCTCTGAATTCCTCTTCGGTTGGCTCCACGACTGCCTGATCTCTTACATGTCGTGCTCGGACGTCCAACGCGTCGTTTTCCATTTGCGTTCCACCCTAGAGATGCCTTGGCACACGATGTCACCCAACGGTCACCTCAGCTTGTGTCTGATCCATTTAAACGTTTATTTTAGTCCATTGTGGTATGAGTGATAGTTACTCTGGAGTGGTTTCTATAAATAAGAAGAAATTACGCAATGCTTGATGTTGATACAATGAAAGTAACAGTTTAAAATTTGATAATGCGAAAACTGTTATTAGAGGTGGAGCAGGCTGTTTGATTTTCTACTTGACAAGTATAAAGCTGTTCATCATTGAGTAATAGGCTAGGGGGACCCTATACATAAATACAGGTACAACGTATGATGGTATTTTCACCATTAATGGAAGCTTTCTTTTACAATTTGCATAACTCAAGGGGTATTTTCAGTCTTTCAAAGTAGTTATTGAGCTGTGAAATACAAATGCTTCTCCTTGTACCTTTCGGTTTGTATGCTTTCTTGTATATGTGTGTATATGTGATTGGATAGTTTTCGTAGTTTTCCTACTGAACCTGAAGTCACCGGATAATGTACTTTGATATACTGTTAGATAGTTGTTGGTTGGAAGTGAGATCCATGGTGTGTGTGTGTTGATCCTCTTTCATCCCATTGAGTGGTGGTGTTTGCAGTGGGACTCGAACCTAGTGTGTGTATGTGGGAGTATGGACTTAAATAACACCTTTTGACATCTATTGCTAATTAACACTGATCATTCAATTTTGATTAGATATGTATTTAAAATCCCATATCTCCTTTTTTCATTTAAAAGATTATTTTTAATTTTAATATGTGTTTTATTTTTCATTTACAGAGAATGGTTCTTTAAACTTTCTACGGAACTTTTAAATCCCATGTATTGTTTATTCGAATATGCCAGTGGTAATAATTATGCCTTACAGATTAATCCTGCCTCTTCAGTTAATCCTGAACACTTGGAGTATTTCCGGTAAGTTCATGAGTTCACCTTAGATACTACAATCATTATTACATTTCATATTTTTTTAAAGAAAATTTAAGTATACATCAGATATATGTTAGCTTTCGGTTCGAATTCTCTTTTTAGGTCAGTTCATTGTCACAATGCCATTTAGTCAATTAAAAATATTGTTAAATGCTCTATGGGAGTAAATGTTTATTCTTTTATATAGAGAAATGAGCTATATTCAAATGTGCAGCATATCACCATTTTTTACGTATGTGTCGAATCTTATTAAAGATGTATGCAATCGGCTTTAACTGTTGTCTTTCAATTTATGGTTCTCGCATTCGAATCCTTCTCTCTAATCTGCACGACTAGGTGGACTCGTAGCGTGGTGGTACATCAGGAATCTCTTCCCGGTAGTTGAATTTAAACCAACCTTACCAAAATGACATATTCATAGTCTCTTGTAACCCCATGGATCTCATAAAGATATGCGAATTAATGATATAAGTTCATCAGTATTTAGACATCCAACAAGCAGTATGCCGAATGAGATAGAGAGATGGGATGGACACACATTTCTGAAACCATTGAATGACGTCGCGCGCTACTCAGGCCCTAGAGTGGAACACAATTGAGAAACAACCTGTTGAGTGTGTCCGATGATGACATGGAGCAGGTCGTGTGAGGTAGAGATGAGGCCTTACGATTAATCGTGGCGCTACTTAGAGGGGACTTCAGAGAACAAAGTCATATGGAAGTGTTCTATTGAAGCTTAATGTTCCACTCGCGAAGTAAGCGAATAATAACGATAATAATGATGCATGTAACATGAATGAAAAAGTTGGTCAGTATTCTCTGATCCTCAAAAGATGTTAAGGTGACTGCGATATTCTTTATTGTTGTTACCGAGATAAATTTTTTTTCGTGAATTCATTGCATTGTTGAAGATGTCTGCTGAAGGAAGTCAGCTACATAATATAAGGACAAATGAACCTCCTCGTTCGAATTCTCCTGTTAATTAGATTTTAGTTTCAGTTGAAATAGCTCTGAAAAAGAAATTCATTTTCTCATATACATATTACTTATTTAGGATACTTTTACCATGCCATTTATTTATTTACTGTTTTTGTTCCCTTGAGTTTCGAGTGGAACGATTGCCCAAACTCTCTCATTTCTTCAAGTGTTGGTTTGTAGGGATTTCATTGGGTACAGGATTTTCATCATGAGCTGACATTAGTTAGAGAACCATTGGATAATCACCTGGGAGTACTGGACAGCTGTTTCGTCCTGGTTTGGGACTCTTCATCAGTACGCACCCACCGGGATTCGAACCCAGGACCTTCTGGTTACAAGGCGAGCTCGTATACCATTAAGCCACTGGGACCCGCTCCAATGGCCAGTGCATGAATTCTAACTTCTGCCAATTCACGACATAGCGCGACCCCTAGCCAATGTCTTCGGCTAGTATTTGTCCTCACACCCGACCTGCTGCACCCTACTGGTCACGACTTCTCACTAGAACCCCAGGTAACTAGCTACCTGAATAGGGCAAGTTGCCAGTGAGCATCTCTCATTTCTTCCTCACACAATCTCCTCCATGTCACTCTCTCACCGACGACCCACTCGTCGCTTCCCATTTCGATTGCGTCATTCGACAGTCTTCTCAATGCACAGGAAATTTCTTTATATTATGAACGATACTATATGTATGCATTCAGTTTTGTTATAAATCGCTAGCTTCATGGATATAGATGATGAATGGAAAACTTTCTATTTATCAGTTTTCTTTGTGTGTGTTTTCTTCTGGTCCCCATAATAGATTTGTTGGACGTTTTATTGCCTTGGCATTGTATCATGCCCGGTTTATTGACAGTGGATTCACATTACCCTTTTATAAACGTATGTTAAATAAAAATCTCACTTTGGCTGATATTGAAACTGTCGATTTAGAATATTATAATTCACTGAAATTTATTCAGTAAGTTGACGTTTATTTATTTTTTCAATACTGTTGTTCATAGATGTGCTTTTTTTCATTAATCAGACATACTTGATCTTAGTTTATATGCTGTTTGTTGCTTTCATTTTATGTGAGAGATCCACAGTGTGCGTGTGAGTGATCAAGTTTATGATTCTATCCAGATGTTGAGACTGTAGTCAGTCAGTGAAGTAGTAGTAATTTGAACGTGATCCTGAACTGTTTAACCCAGGGGGGTGGGGGTTCACCTCTGAAGTTTGTTTTACAACTGAATAATGTCTGCTTCACCGTCTTTTGTAACATTTTGTATAAAAAAAGATGAGTTGAGAAATCAATGAGGTATCCGTACTAACCTAAGCTTTAAAATCATGCCCATCAGTCGTGTATGTACCATCAGTACTTTACGTGTTAATAGTGAAATGCTTATACCATACTTTATGACAGTGATTACGTGCAATTTTGAGTAAATAGCGTGTTTGTATTATCGAACAGTAAGTCGATATCATCTGTATACTTAAAATAGAGTAGTTTTTCGGGGGGGGGGGGGCTAGCAGTTCCACATCCTTCAGAGAGAGGTCTTCAGGTGATCACTGATGACAAAGTTGAAGGATTGATGAATTCTAACAATCCTGTCTACTGATGATTATCAATGCTTACTCTATTTTGATAGGGCTTTCATAATTCTGAAAAAACTTCTAGACGCCACACTGTATGAAGGACGATCTCCGAACAACATTCCTGTTCAGTGAATCTAAGCCAGTTTTAATGTCATACACCACGAAAATTGTTGGCCTACAGTAGGTGTAACACAGTACTCTCATAATTCACGTAGTGTGTACATGTGATCGATTCAGTTTACGACCTCAAGAGAACCTATCTAGTTGTTCGTGAGTTAGTTTCTCAAAGCCTTGTGAAGCACAACAGAAGCTCTAACTTTAGATGCCAACTGGGAGCAGATTAATACCCTAATGATTATCTTATGCCACCTAAGCACCCCGAGTTTTTTTCAAACCTTTACTGTCCTGGTCAGTTACTTCCCTTTCTCTGATTGAAGTTTCCTGCCTTACAAAATATTAATGGCTCCAAATGGGGATTCAGTAGAGGAATACGGCGCAACATGCCTTTTTAGGGTTAAAGTATCGTCCGAACGCTAAGACCAAGGCAGATAGCTGTCTTAAGAGGTCACTACTTCTTAAACTTTTGATTTTAAACTCCAATCATTAAGACAAAGGAGCGGTGTCCACTTATTCGATGATGAGCACCAGACATTCTCATTCACTTTTTAAGCCCCCCCCCCCCTTCCTGAAACGTGAAGACAGTGATTATGTGATTTACCTTGCAGACATTATGAACGTGTCGCCACATGTGAGCTTCTCGAAGAAAGATGGGAGTCTTACTACTCTTGGTCAGACCAAGTAATATATGCGAAGCTAATGATTGGTGGTGAATACATACTTATGTATCACCTCATTCATATAGCACCTGGATGAAATAGATTTAAACGTAATTACCGGGCGAATCATCTTGTGACTAATTTAGCGGGGTGCTAGGTCAGTAACCACCCCCCCCCAGAGCCTGCTAAATTCAGCTCTATCCTTCGTATTTTCTGAATATTCCCTTTCTTTAACAAAACACAAATTTCAAGTGGGAGATTTTTTTCTTCTCAGTCTTATGCATATTTTTGCTGTTCTCGTTTTCTAGGGAGAGTAATATTGATGAATGTGGTCTTGATGTCTACTTTGCTATGGATTATGAAATATTAGGCGAGATACGGACACATGAATTAAAACCTGGGGGAAAAGATATCTTAGTAACAGATGAAAATAAACAAGAATATATTGAGTAAGTTTTTTCTTTCTGAAATGCATGCTTAATTTGTTTTTTTCATATTTCTCAATAATTATTTTAATGTTAATGTAAGTAAAAAGTTTGAGCATTGTGGAATAAATCAAATAAATTATAATAATACTTCAATAGTTATATGGAGGGGATAAAGGATTGGTTTTATGTGACCACAGCGTTCATTAAAAAATTCCTAATTGATATTAAGGCTTCAACAGCAAATCTCCACTTCGTCCTATTCTCTGCTATCCTCTTCAATTAGCCCCACGATTGTCCATATTGTCTCATCTTCTCCTCGCACGACCCTCTCCATGTCACCGTCGGACCCCAGCCCAACTCTTCGTCCCCCATTCAGATTCTTTTTGAGCGGTGGCCTGGTGCGCGATTTCACTTGACGGTCTTCTCAGTGTGTGCCCGATACATTTCCATTTTCTTCGCCATATTTATTGAGAAATAGCTTATTGATCGGTTCGTCCTTAGAGTTTCTTGTTACTAATCCTTTCTGTCTATCTGGTCTTCAGTATGGACCCAGTGAAGGTGGCTGTTGATAAAAGTGTGCAGTGGCCTGTTGGAAATGCTTTTCATGACGTGCAGTGCAAGCTCCTTATCTATGTAGAAGTGACTGACTTAACATTGGTGTTGAAATTCTGAATTTTTTTCATTATGCTGAGTGCAGAAAATTTCCAAACTGATTTCACGATTATGATGCCTTAATGACGACTGTCATTAAGAGCGAAACTTGGGTATAGTTACTATTTTGATGTACTTGAATAAAGTATTTATTTTACAAAAACTGGCGTTTTCAAAGACAGACTGTCATCTTGAAGTATTGGGTTTGGCATTGCAGGGATATTAAGTACACTATTGTTAACTTCACTTGATGTACAGAGACTGCATTTTTTAATCAGTCCTCGGGAAACAAATGAACATAGTAGACATCGGTTCCTATTAACGATAACCTAAGCTCTAGTTGTGAGGTTATGAAGCTAGATCGATTAAGATAACTAGGACACGTGGTCCGTAAGCCAAACCACCACCTTACTCGACAGAGATTATGTTGGGAAAGAGTTTTGGGTGATCATAACAAGACGTAGAATCAATTCATGAAATATATAACCGTAGGGAGGTGTAGACTTCCTGACTGGTTGGTTTCTTCAGGATTCTAAGAACCAATAACTGGAGGATACTATTGGTTATGTGGCTCAATAGCGCAGATGCATTCACTCTCTGTGATCTGTTATATCCAATAAAACCCTTTTGTTTTTCCATGTTACTGTGGTTTTCACCCCTTCATGTTTCTGCTGATTACAGTTCTTTTGAATCTCTTTGCTTCTCTTTTTTTTGTTGTCGACCTTTAACACACTGTTACATGGACTGCGTCAACTTGAACTGCTGCACTTCTGTATATGCAAAGTTCTGTGTTGCTACTCAGTCAGCCAATCAGCTGTGATTTACGAAGGCAGAAATGTTCATCAAACTACCGTTGACTAACTTCCAATGTGTATATTGTGTATTGTACATAGTTTACATGGTTTCTGCATTCATCTGTCCTTACCACTGAAAACAGTGTACATGTGAATGTTGTAGGTTTAATTCACACTAGTCAAATGTACTAGTAGATGTACTGTATTAACCGATATCTAATTGTTGAGTTAATAATCAAGTAGAATAATTAATAGGATAGAAAATTTTTTATTAACTAGGCTTCACTTTAGTACACATTCTTTTTTTGCTGTTGTTGTTAATACTGCTACTGTACCAGGCTGTTAGCCAAACTTATTGTGCTTACGCTGATGTTATTACTCAGTTGTTCAGATTAGTATATGTGAAGCGGGATTCGAGCCTTGAACCTGCTGAATTAAGCCATTGAACCAAATCTTCACTAAAGTCAAATGTCTTCTCTTCTTCAAACTTTGTTCCACATGTTTCTCACTGACTGAGTAACCGTCTAGTGTCGTGTTATCTCATCATGAATCCAAACTTACATAAAACTTGTAACATCCATAAAAATATAGTTTATATTTATTGTTTAAAAAGTTAATTCGAAGGCCGTAAATTGTTTATTTAGTATAACTGTAGTCTGTTCTCTTCTCTGTTATCTTCTGTTTTATAAAAGAACAATGTATGTAGCATTATAAAAGTCACTAGTGGCCTACACTTCTTCACAATAAATTGATTATGTTCAAGGATAAAAGGCAGCTGTGACTGTATCTCTATATCACTCTAGTTGACTAGAAGTCAAGTTGTCTCAAAGCTCTTCAACCACCAGGCTATTTGCCTCACAGATTCTAACCGTGAGAGAATTTTTCTGCTTTGGTGTCATTTCTATGATGTAAAGCTGTCTCTATACTTGTTTTCCTCTTTGCACAAGATATCTATCTCTACGTCCTCTAGATGCTTGAATCATTAAAAAAAATATATTCCAAGTTTCTTCAAAAGTACATTATCTCCTTCGCAGATTATTCTTCACTAAGCCATAATCTTCGCCAGTTCAGTTGTTTACTTTCACCTAAATTAATCATGTTTCCAAGTCATCAGTCATTATGGTTTTTACTCGGTGATCTCTTATTGCGTATATCAGTCAACTATGCAACGGGTCAGATATGAAGGAATTGGACATCTTAGTGACAATAGTGTAATTTGATTGACAGTGGCTATTAGTCGAATCCCGAATGCCCATTTAATCCTATTTGTCACTCCTTAGTGGATATATCTCTGTCCCTAGTGAGTAACGATTTTCCCACTGAGACTTGGATCGAGAGCCCATCGTTTTTTTAAACGCCTATATGTTATGCATGAGTATCAGTTGTCATTTGTGTGATTTATTTTGTATTTACTAAGTGTTGGTTTGCAGGGATTTGATTGGTTAAAGGTGTCTAATCACAAGTTAATATTAGTTAGAGAACCATTGGAAAATCTAGGAGTACTGGACAACCGTTTCGTTCAAATTTGGCACTCTTCATCAGTACACACTTGTTGGGGTTTGAACTCTGGACCTACCCCTTACAAAGTTAGGTCGTAGACCATTCAGTCGCTTGGACCCCGATCCAATGGCCTGTGAATTTCAACATCTGTGAATTCGTGATATATTTCGCCAGCCAAGTGTCATAGGTGAGTAACTGTTCTTTTACGAAACTTGGTGGCCCCCGCTGGTTATGACTTCTCGAACCCCAGTGGGTGCGTACTGATGACGAGTCCCAAAGTAGGACGAAGCGGCTGTCCAGAACTCCCAGGTTTTCCAATGGTTTTCTCTAACTGATGTCAACTCCTGATCAAACTTGTAACCAATCAGATCTCACCAGACCTATAGTTGATAATTAATCTGGTGCTCACACTAGCTTAAGTTTCTGTAGCAGCTTTGTTTACAGGGCGGGGTTGCTAGCCTCACGCCTGAGAAGGGGATTGTTACATTAAAATATAGTTTAGAGAGAAGCGCCCTTGTGGGTCGCTCCCCTTAAAACCAGGAAAACAAGGAATAAAACATTCAGAACAACACCAGCACATGAAAATAATTCACAACAAGAAGGGTAACAAGTGACAACAACAATAATAATATCACAGTCAAGTACAGTTAACCAAGATGATACCAAAATCATAGACTCACTGACTTGAGCCAACTTGAACATGTAAATCCATCAGTATATACAATTATAGATATTAGTTAGTGTTAAACAAGCACAGAGTGGCAAATAGATAGTTATAGGTGTTATCCAAAAACAAAGTTTATATCCAAAGATTCAGTGTTTCAAAGGCAAATAATTGCAGTGGTTTTTTTGCAACCTTTTGACAAGATATTCCACAAAAATAAGAGTTTTTAGTAACTATGTAAATGTAACGTAGTAGTCGAAAAGCGCGTCAAGTACTGCTTTCGCTCACACTAGCAACTACCTTTTATTATGTATTTCTCGTTGAATCATTTATATTGACATGTTAACTCCCATTACGGATACTTCGACAGTATCTCTAAAGGCTAATATGTGATGGTACTGACAAAGGTTCAAGTGTATGAATGTGAACGTTACCCTTTATAAGACTTTGTATGCCTAGTAACCAGAATATGGTTTGAGAGCTCTGATATTCTGATCTGTTGCTCACTAGCGACTCTCTCTATTTACGCAGTTACCTGGGGTTCTAGTGGGAAGCCGTGTACCAGTAGGGTACAGCAGGTTGAAGGTGAGGACAGTAACTCATCAAAGAAGAATTTGCAAAGTAGTCGCTCTATGTCGTGAATAGGCAGAAGTTGGAATTCATGCACTGGCCATTGGATCGGGTCCCAGTGGTTGAATGCTCTATGAACTAGCTCGCCTTGTAACCAGAAGGTCCTGGATTCGAACCCTGGTGAGGAATCCCAAACTGGGACGAAATAGCTACCCAGTACTCGCAGGTTTTCCAATGGTTCTGTAACTGATGTCAGCTCATGATGAAACCCTCGAATCCATCAAACAAAATCCCTACAAAACCAATACAAAAATTGAATTATAGTGTGTACAGCAGTATCGCTTCGCTTTTGCATCATGAAAGTAATGACTCTTTTTTATGACATATGACGACCAATTCTCATTGATTTATGCCTGAACTCTTCAGTGCTTATTTTCTCTTATCTGTTTCACAGTAGGGAGATAGATATCTTCCAGTAAATTTGACAATTTTTCATATGTCTATTTTGTTTTGTTTAGTGTGTTATACTGTCTTGATAATTATTTACTAGCCAGCCAACAATACAAATTAATTCTTATTAGTTTCTGAAATTTATTATTTTTTCTTCTTTATATATTGTAAATTCTATCATAGTGTTCAATCTCAACACACACCAATCTTATCTTTTTCATTCACATGATGGCATAAGTCAGTTTCATGCTGCACGCTACACTTATTCATTGTGTAACTCCTATGTGTTATGTTCCATCGAACTTCAAACCGCTCTCTCTCTCTTTCTCTGTCTCTCTGCCTTAGTATAGTGTGTAATATTATTTTTTATCATTTCTTCAGAGTAAAGTTCA